ACTGTGCTGGTTAATTTTATGGCAACTTGACACAGGCTAGAGTCATCTGAAAGGAGGAAACCCCAGTTGAGAAAATGCCTCTATAAGTTGGGTTGTAGGGCATTTCTTAATTAGTTGATTGATGTGGGAATGCCCAGCCCATTGTAAGTGGAGCTATCCCTAGGCTGGTAGTCTTGGGTTCTATAAGAAAGCAGACTGGGAGCCGGGCAGTGGTGGCCCATGCCTTTAATCCCAGCACTTGGGAGGCAGAGGCAGGCAGATTTCTGAGTTCAAGGCCAGCCCGGTCTACAGAGTGAGTTCCAGGACAGCCAGGGCTACACAGAGAAACACACACACACACACATACACACAAAGAATTTAAGAAAGCAGACTGGGCGAATCATATGAAGCAAGCCTATAAGTAGCACCCCTCCATGGTCTCTGCACCAGCTCATCCCCAGACTCCTGCCCTGTTTGAGTTCCTGTCCTGACTTGGATGATGAACAGTATTGGGGAGTGGAAATCAAATACACTCTTTCTTCTCCAAGTTGCTACTGGTCATGGTGTTTCACCAAAGCAACAGTAATTCTAACTAAGACAGATACCTTGTTTCAAATGTTTCTTTTCTTTCTTTCTTTCTTTCTTTCTTTTTTTATTTATTTTCCTTTTTTTTTTTTCCGAACTCACTCTGTAGACCAGGCTGGCCTCAAACTCAGAAACTCACCTGCCTCTGCCTCCCAAGTGCTGGGATTAAAGGCTGTGCCACCACCACCGGCTTGTTTGAAATGTTTCAAATGAAACAAAACCAAAGAAGAAAAATAACAGAGCTGGCTTTGGGAGCCTGAAGTCTCAGAGTTTGGGAGGTCGAAATCAAAGGATTGACAGACTTTTGAGGCTAACCTGGACTACATAGAGAATACCAGGCCATCCTGGGATACATACATAGCAGATCTGATTTTAGTTCCAGGAAAAGGGGAGCTTCAGAAGCTGAGGACACTTTTGACTTCACACTCTCCCAGAACTAGCTAAGGCAGTTCCCCTGACACCCTAGGACCTTACCCCTCTGTGCTAACATCATTGTTCACCTATAATCCCATATAAACCTGGCTCAAAGGGTGGAGGTGGGTTAGATGTTCTCAGAAATGGGTTCTTAAATACGCACCAGATGCCCATCACATGAAGAGCTGTGGCTGTCGTGTTGCCTGCATGTATGTGTGAAGGTGTCACATGCCCTGAAACTGGAGTTAAAGGCAGTTATAAGCTGCCATGTGGATACTGGGAATTGAACTCGGGTCCACTGGAAGAGCCAGTGCTCTAGACTGCTGAGCCATCTCTCCAGTCCCAAGACCAAGAAAGAAAGAAAGAAAGAAAGAGAGAGAGACAGAGAGAGAGAGAGAGAGAGAGAGAGAGAGAGAGAGAGAGAGAGAGAGAATGAAAAGGAAGGGCTGGATGATTCTGCAGTTAAGAGTGGTTACTATTCTTGCAGAAGATCAAAGTTGGCTTTGTCCCTGCACCCAAGTCCGATGGTTCAGAAATATCTAACTCCAGCTCCAGGGGCTCAGATACCTCCTTCTGGACTGTAAGGGCAACTACACTCACATATACCCACACCAACTACAACACACACACATATACATAACAAAAGCTAGGTGGTCTTGGCACACAACTTCCTTTAATCCCAGCACTGGGTGGGGGGGGGCAGAGGCAGGTGGATCTCAGTGAGTTTAAGGCCAACCTGATCTGCAGAGCAACTTCCAGGACAGCCAGGGAAGGACATATAGAGAAATCCTGTCTCAAAATAAAGAAATTAATTAAAATAAATAAAACAAATAAATAATATAAAAGTAATCTTAAAACAGAAGTGGGCTGGAGTGTAGCTTGGTGGTAGACTTGGGCTTACCATGCATAAGGCTATGGGTTCTACCCTAAGCACCAGAAAAGTGAGTGAGCAAGCCAGAAACACACAAGCCAGAGAGCAAGTGAGCGGGGAACACAGAAAGGGACAGACACTGCTCTACGACCTGACCCAAGAAGCCACGGATCGCAGCAGCAGCAACTACTCAAAGGGACCAGAGTCAGTCATGAATTTCAGCTTCCTTAACTGTCGGTTCCACTTCCAACTCCAGACCAATCAGAAGCAAGAGTGACCGGATCACTGGCACACAGGCAGACCCCCACTTGCTTGGTCAGAATGGGACCTTCTGTTTCTTCCTTTGACCAACTCTACCAAAGGCAAAGCATAGCAAGCCAATTTCTGCAATGCATGTGCGTGTCACCTATGTCCTTGAACACAGTTATATATATATATATATATATATATA